ATATTTTAAAAAACTTAAATAATTTCCAGGTATTTTCCACAAAGGAATTTCAGGATAAATAAATATGATCATTTTTAGGACTTTTGGAACATTGACAAACTAATTTCCTATAAACTGGATCAATTTACATACCATCAGGAACGTGAGAATCTCAATTTCCCCTTAACTTTATTGAATAGTAGTATTCAAAAATTTTTGCAAAAGTGAAGAAAGGCATTTTGCCCTATTAATTAGCATTTCTTTATTATTGTGTTTGAGTGCTCTGCTCTTCCGAATTGTCTGTTTACACCCTGTGCCGTTTGACTACTGGGACCCCCGGATTCCCCCATTCTCTACCTTCTCTCTTCCCTTGTTTTATATGTATGGAATTTGCTTTAAGTTTTTAAAGTTGCATCTATTCTTTTCTCATCAATGTCCCTTTTCTCTTAAGGTTAACCCTCTAAGAGAAGGTCTTGGGGTTATTATTTAATTTTCTCTTAAAAATTGTGCCGATCCAAGGGTTTCTATACTGTACCAAAAAGTCCATTCTTTCTTTCTTCACTGTTTTTTTTTTTTTTTTTTTTTGGTGATGCCAGTTAAAGGAACTAAAGGGCAGAGAATGGGAGAAAAGATCACAAAGAGGGACTTCAAACATGGTAGAACAGATTTGTAAGTTTTTTTTTTTCCTAAATCCAAATGCAAATGAAATTCCATTGTGTGGTTTCAAGGGTTGGAGAGAATAGGATGAGCTGCTGACAACAAAATGGAAGGTTAACCAGCAGGCTGGACAGATGAGGAGCTATTCGAGACAAGAAGAGACAGTAGAGAAAGTGGCAGAATCTACCCAGACTTAGCAACTCGAAAACACATTTCCCGTTTGCATTTGTCTGAGCCTGGCTATGACAGATCGAACTGAATCTGGCCCCAGGAATCTGCGAACAGCTAAAGAGAGATGAGTGATTTCCCCACGGAAAAGCATCTCAAACAATGTGATTCTTCCTCAGCTTACAGGAACACAGAACGAAAGTCTTTCTCAGATTATGGTCCCCATTAAGATATCTCAACAGATTTTGTAACAAATTCCGTAAACCGCAACAAACATAATTGGCTACATGTACACATTTCAATGAGCAAGACATTTTTCTGTTTGAGTTTCTCTATTTTCAAGTTTTCTTTTCAAACATTAGTTCTAGTGAGAGAGAAATAAAACCAGAAACCCTATACTTTTCAGTTACCAGATGATCATCAAATGCAGTCATGGCTTTGGCATGCAAAGGAGCCAAGGAAATCGCAGACATCATACCTGGCTGCCAGGTGCTCAGAGCACAAGATACCAAATGGATGTCAGTGCTCCTGAGCTGTTTCAAACACTGAGAGAGGAAAGTGGCGCCTGGTGATGAAGTGAGAAGGAAAAATAATGAAAACCCACAGCACATTTTTCTAAATGAGCTGATGTACACTGTATTTTATGATTCAAATACGCAGGTGGGATGATAATTTTTCAGGTTGTCCTAAGTTGATTGTCTTCATGATTTTGAGTTTTGACCTCATCCTTTGAAAGTGGTGGTTATGAGGGGTTGTGGATTTCCTGCACCCTTTTGAAATCTGATTTTAGGATGGAAAGAGCGCATTTAATGAAGCTCTGCCAACCTTTGGTAACGAAGGTTTCTTTCAATTGCCTCTGAAAAGAAACTCTACAACTATTACTAGTCTCTAAAGATTAAGATCCTCAAAACATAAAGTCTAAACAGAACAGTTTCACATTCTGAACTTTTTCCTTCATGCTTTCAATTCTTTGTGTCAAATGTGAAATATCAGCAGTGTACAAAGAGACTAGGGGGTGAAAAATGCCTTTGCTTTCAGGAAAGCTTGCTGTTTTTCCTTTTTATTCCTGTTCATTTGGGAGCAGATATTAGCCCTTCTTGTTCTGCAGCTTTTATTTGAGGGGGAAAATACAAACAGAAGCCAAGAGTATATTTTAAAAATTGAAGAGCATCAAGACATCACAGCCTGAGTTGGCCATAAAGATTTACAATTACATTTCCATCACAAAGACCCTGGCCCATCATCTTTGGCCATGACCATTTATGTTTTGATTTCTATTTCTTTGGCGGGACAACACCCCAATTAGACAGATGAGCGTTCAGTTCGGATTTTGGAGCCCATCCTTGCTGGCCTAGGTTACTCCAGGGCTCCAAAGGCTATTCTCCCCCAATTGTGCCTTGATGGTTATAGTCCTGCTATCCACCAATTCTTAGCATACAAGAAAACTGTGACGTTAATATTCTAGTGGTCATTTGACCTTGATTATGCCTGAATTCTTTTACTGCCTGAGCCACCAGGGAAATCTGTTTCCCTGAATTCTCTAGGTTCTTGCTTCTGAGGCTTTTTCACTCCACGCTGTGTAAATTGAGTGGTGGTGACCTGGGGACGAAGAGGAAAAGGTAGAGAATTCATTTTTCTCTCCCGAAGACTGGTAACTGGGTCAGTCTGTCTATTGTAACCTCCTGGTAGCAAACTGTGTTCTCTTAAAAAATATCACACCAAAGTCATCGCTGGAGAATTATTATTATAAAAGCTGAGTTGTCACAGCAGATTCTAACTTCCATGGAAAAAGAGCCATTTTCATTCAGAACTCATATATTACTAACACAATGTACAGCTCACCCTTTCACAATTATATATAATGTGATAGGTAAGTTCACCGTTTATCTTCAGGAAAGGAGATATAAAAGGAGAAACCACCGACTTCTGCTCGTAAAGAGTGATACCCACTGTCACATGGCTTTTTTCCCCTGCATTTCACACCATTCCAAGAAGGGGGAAAAAAGCAAGTCTGTGGACACATTTTCCTTTCATTAGGATAAGAGCCGCATTTCATTAGTTTAAAAATCCCCGTTCATTTAAGCAACACTAAATGCTTCCTGGTCTGGATATATAAAATTATTGGATGGCCGCTGCTGGCCATCCATCTGAGACCCTGGTGTGCCACAGTCGATTTTTGAGAACTGCTCTGCCACTTAATGTGACAAACATCCAGCCTTGCAGTTTAAGAGATCTTTGAGAAAGGCCATCCCCACATGAAATGAATTTAACAGCAGCAATTTGTCATTTTGCCCTTCCTTTGCTGGGGAAAAAAAAAATGCTGGTGATTTCTTTTGACTTAAACTGGGCATTCAAAAAGCTGTTTTTATTAATGAATCATATTAAGCCACTAGAGAAAGGCTCCCTGACTCTGTTTAAATAACAGGCTATGATTCCTCTCCCCTCAAACTCCCCCCCCACCCCCATTTGGCTCCGCTGCTATTAATTGAGGAGTTTCTTTGTTTCTTTCCTAATGAAGCTAACAGAACACATCTGTCAGGTGCTCGTATTCTTTGCCTGTCTATAGTATGTAATAGACCAGCTGGAGGCTATAATGCTACACAATACCCCTGGCCGTTACAGCAACTATTTATTCCTGGGCTTTTCCTCCGAAAGGGATTTGAAAAAAAAAAAAGTCTGAAATTTGGGCCTAATTGCTATTTACCCAGCGATAGACACCTGTTCTAGCTGAGACATTGGCTCATGAATCCTACACCTGAGGCCTTCGGGAGAGTAGAGGGGAAATTTCAAGCAGCTGCCAGTCCATTTAGATATAGAGAGCTTTAACTTACAGGGTTTGTGTGTTTATACGTATAGGCATATATTTTAAAATACTGTATGTTTAGTATGCACACCCATAACCAGAGGGTATATATTAAAAGCCATGTACTATTATTTCACGGTCAATTGCTTATCTGAAGGCTATACACATACTGGCATACAGCTACGACTGTGACTGCTTTAAAAATAGTGCACTGAAGCTGAATTCAATATCAATAACAGACACGTGTCCTTCAGAAGTCCATTCCAGGCCTTGGGGAAAAATAGCTTCTTAGGATGAATCAGAGGAAAAAGTTTAACCAAATACAACTCTTCTCAGAGAGATTCAACTTTGTTTTAGCCATTCCCTTTGCCAAATAGCCATGACTTCTTTCTTTTGACATATTGCAATTGTTTTCGTTTTCTGTCTTGATTAGAGGAGCACAATGTTCTGTTTAATTTTTGAAATCAATAGATATTTATCCTACTTTTCATGGTTGGCTTTCATAATGCCTGCTAAAGCTAAGAGTCCAGGACCATAATGACAACACTTATTTCCTTGGAAAAAATAAAATATAAAACCAAAAAGTTTAAAGGAGACTCTATGTAACGTGTAATAATGTCACCTAATGTTTAGTTAGTAGTTTATCTTATTCAAGATTATTTTTTAAAGTACTAGAGCACAAAAAGAGCTGCCTTGCACTTGTAAAAGAATGAAAATGAGAGGAATAGTATCTGTATATATACATACACGTGTGTGTTTACCCTGACTTCACACCCTCTAATCCCACTGCCCTATTTTGGCTTGAGATGTTTCTGTGAAGAGAGGAGATAAGACAGGCGTAGCACAAGCTCACTGGCAACAGAACAGAAATGAAACGTTACTGCTCTGCTATTTTATCTGGCCTCTAATCAGAGGACATTCCTGCCGCAGAGGGCTGGCGGGGTGGGGGAGGTGGGGAGGAGGAGAAAGGAGAAGCAGAGATTTTTTTTTTTCTCCTTTTCTTGTCTTTGGTATTTGGTATGACTTCTGAGCTTTTTGCTGTGGACTCTCTTTGGTATTTCTAAAATAGCCTCCCCCTTACGTACTGTTTTGAGAAATTTGACCTTTCTGAACAAATCAAATAATGCTGCCAAATGACACCTAATTTGTTACCAAACTAGAAAATTATTTATTATTTCTCCCAAAGGGTATGTGAGCTATATTAGATGAGAATTCATGAAATGAAATTAAAAGGGTGAAAGTAGATTTAAATAAAATGTAGAAAGACAAGTCATAAATGAAATAAAAATTATCTGAGAGATATTGTGCACACGCGCGCGCACACACACACACACACACACACACACAATCATGCTGGCTAAGAAACTCCCCTTGGTCTCATCTGCAGCCAAAGATGACCAAGAAGTCAGAGCCTTCGGAGGTGGCTGGCAAAGACAGGAGAGATGGACAGTACTCACATACAAATGAGTGCTTCGCCTCAGGGCTCACGCGGTTGGATAGAGCTGATGCTGGGACAGAAATTCATTTCCCAAGAGAAAGGCGAGACGTGCACGCGGAACTCAGGGTTACACCAGAACAGGTGATAATGAAATTAGAGTTAATGAAGGCTGGAAGAAACCAAGGCCAGATGGGTTGGTGAGACTGTCATCGGAGACGCAGGCTAAAACCAGACATGGTATCTCAGGATGAGAGAAAACAATTGTTGAAGGCACACATCAGAAAAGTTCTGGGAAATATAAGAATCCTCCTCTCAATTCTGAGACGGGCCATCCCTGTATCTCCATGTGACAGTATTTTGAAAGCGGATGATGCTAGGAGGCAGATAGTATGACTAAGGGGAAGACAGATAATGTTTCTGAGCCTCAGTTTCCTCTCAGGTAAGTGGGGATAATAATACTTACCTTCTTCTCACTGGGAAGATTGAACGAGATAGTGTTTGTAGAATGGCTAACACAGGTGCACGTGCTTGGTGTCAATTATATGATAACATAATTGTAATTCTTTATAAGTGATTAGGTCATTCTCACAAAAAATGCCAGTAAGGGCTTCCCTGGTGGCTCAGTAGTAAAGAATCTGCCGGCAATGCAGGAGACATGAGACACAGGTTCAATCCCTAGGTCGGGAAGATCCCCTGGAGAAAGAAATGACAACCCACTCCAGTATTTCTGCCTAGGAAAACCCACAGACAGAGAAGCCTGCTGGGCCACAGTCCATGGGGGTCACAAAAGCGCTGGACACAATTTCGTGACTAAACAACAAGAGCAATCCCAGCTAGCCTGTCCGTGTGGCCGTCCACTTTCGGGAATCTTACTAGTGAACAGGCCACGTCAGAAAAGAGATGAATCCTAAACGTATCCTGCTGTTCTCATTAGGTTTCCATATCTCAGTATATTATGAAAGAGAAGGATTTTGCCAGAAGGAATTGAGAAACTAAGTGATGCAGAGAAAATACACGGGAATTTGTTAAAATAGAGTGCTCATGTCCTGTCAGGGATCACTGTTGGTCCTATATATTTTGAGCTTGATGGAAATATAGGTTAAAATTTTTAGGAAGCCTTTCTTTCCCAGCACTCTGTTCATAACTCCACCTTATTAGTTGTTGTGTGAGGCATTTTTGTGAGTTATTTAATGAACACATCCTTCTTTCTCTGGGCTGGCACTGATTTGCCTTAAAGTACATTCTCCTGGGGGTTTCCCAGGTGGCGCGAGTGGTAAAGAACCCACCTGCCAATGTAGGAGATGTAAGAGATGTGGGTTCAGTCCTTGGGTTGGGAAGCTCCCCTGGAGAGGGCATGGCAGCCCGCTCCAGTATTCTTGCCTAGAGAATCCCATGGACAGAGGAGCCTGGTGGCCATCATCCACACATCTCTGCATCTCATCCATGCAGAGAGTTGACATGACGGAAGCAACTTGGCACACACATGCATCTTCTCCGGGAACTCTACAGGCAGGGGGCAGAGCGGCATGCAGCACTACCGCTTGTGGTGGCACACAATCTTACGGATACTCTTATCTTCAGCTCTCCCCACGTGGAATCCTACTAGACGCACCATGACCATACTCCCTCGGAAGCTAGGGTTCTGGCACATGGTCTGGGCTCTGCCCACCAGACTTCCACATGTAAGCCCACATGAAGACATCACTGGCATCATTGAAGATGAACCTCTCGGCAAGCGTGGTGGCAAAGGTGTTCTGTTTCTTGGTGTCGGTGCTGGCAGAGTTTCTGGTACCCAGCTCTGAACGCCACAGTGCCAAGTGGTATTTACCAGGTATTTCCATAGCGAAGAACCTGCATGGCTGCACAGCTCTCTGGTCAGATCTCTGACCCTTTGGAAGATCCTGGGAGTTACCTAACACCCTTTAAAAAAAAAGCCTTCTCTTTTCCCATTCCAGAATGGATTTTGTATGTTTGTTTGCTATTAAGAATCTTAACCATTGCACAGGTGTTACATGCTTTCTAATGCAATTAAGAGTAATGGAACACAATTTTTTAAGTAGTATTGCAGAGGCAATACTTATCTCTCAAGCATCCATTTGTCCTTTTCTTGGTAAACAGCTTTCTCTTGCCATGCATATTGAGCGAGATAATTCAAGGAGTTGCTTGCTGCCTTATTTCAGCCACAAGAAGGGAGTCAGATCCAGGGTGAATATGATACAATGGAAAATGCAGCAAAGAGCTAGAAAGAAGTCATATCCTCGACAACATCCTTGGGCTACCAGATCAACTCAACTTTGAAGTCCACCTAGATATGGACTTACTTGACATGGAAAGTGTCTTAACTTACCAAACACACTTTCTCTTTCTTTTTTCTTTTTTTTTAAAAAGCAGCAATGTAAAAGACAAGGGAAGCCTGGAATGCTTCAGTCCATGGGGTTGCAAAGAGTCAGACACAACTTGGCCATTGAACATAACAATGATGCTACCGACATGACTCACCAGTATTTTATAAACTATGAGGAAAGTAAAAAGGCTTCCAGTTAAAGTGACACCATGTTTTTGTTATTTAGAATTTTTGTTTTGCACTTCTTGCAATAGCTCTTTTATACATATTTAGACTTTCGTGTTTGTCATTTATGACTTCAGTGCTTAAGATACTTGTAAGGGAAAATGTCAGGGAAATAAATTTGTCAAGTATTCTAACACTCCTTCACATTCTTTGGCCCTCCAGATCTGTCTGCCTTTGCCTGGCTCTGTGCCGGGTGTGGCTGACCCCTGTGGACTGGATCTTCCAAGCTTAGTGCCAACTGGAGGCTGGCTGGTTCAGCCAATGAAAGGCACCATCTGGAGCCTAGAGGACAGGAGGAAAGGGAGGCTGGGGCATTCGCTCCAGCTGTGGCAGTGTCTATGTTAGCAGCTGTGACCCTCCAGGACTACATCTTCTCCAGTTCTCACTCAGTTTCCCATTAAGGTTTCCTTCCCTTATTTCCTCTAGGGCTTCCTTTGCGGCTCAACTGGTAAAGAATCCACCTGCAATGCAGGAGACCCGGGTTTGATACCTGGGCTGGGCAGATCTCCTGGAGAAGGGAATGGCTACCCACTCCAGTGTTCTGGCCTGGAGAATTTCATGGACTGTACAGTCCATGGAGTCACAAAGAGTTGGACATGACTGAATGACTTTCACTTTTCCTTATTTCCTCAGTCTTAGGAGTAGTAATGGCTTCTTGGTGGGACCACACTTTTTTAAGTAGTCCTTTCATCAAAGTCTTTTTTTTATTTGACTCACCGATAGGGAAATCTGATTCCTGACAGTTCTCTGAATGGCACAGAATCCGGTCTATTCCAAATCTTTTTCTTTCGTGGCTTTCCCCATTACTTTCATTCTATTCCCTGCACCATTAAGAATGCTGATGATGCAGCATTTATTGGAGGAGGGGTCATTCTTTACTACAGTAATATCATCAAGATCTAACTTGAGGAGGCAGGCACATTCCTCTTAAGGACCTAACTCTGCTGCCTGTGTGCCTGTGTGCTCAGTCGTGACTGACTCCTTGGGACCCCATGGACTATAGCCGCCAGGCTCCTCTGTCCATGGGATTCTCCAGGCAAGAATACTGGAGTGGGTTGCCATGCCTTCTTCCAGGGAATCTTCCCGACCCAGGGATCAAACCCACATCTCTTAAAAGTCTCCTGCATTGGCAGGTGGGTTCTTTATCACTAGTGCCAAAGCCAGGCAAAAACTTCTAACCATTAGAAAGAAGACTACTTACTCTACATAAAGGCTGTTGTTTCAGTTGCCAAGTTGTGTCTGACTCTTTCACAAACCCACAGACTGTAGCCTGTCAGGCTCTTCTGTCCATGGGATTTTTCAGGCAAGAGGACTGGAGTGGGTTGCCACGCTCTTCTCCATGGAATCTTCCTGACAGCGATGGAACCCGTGCCTCCTGCAGTGCAGGCAGATTCTTTACTGCTGAACCACCAGGGAAGCACATGTTGTTGCCTGTGTGCATGCATGGTAAATCGCTCAGTTGTGTCCGACTCTGTGCGACCCTATCAACTGTAGCCCCCTGGGCTCCTCTGTCCAGGGGATTCTCCAGGCAAGAATGTTGGAGTGGGTTGCCATGCCCTCCTCCAGGGGATCTTCCCAACCCAGGGATTGAACCTGCGTCTCCTGCATTAGCAGGCAGGTTCTTGACCACGAGCCCCACTGGGTGCCCATATTGTTGCCTTTGCAACAATAGTAAACAATAGAAATAGTAAATTTCTCTTATGCTTTTGTGCACATATGTGCCTTCTCTCCCATATCTGTAGCTCTCCTACTCAGATGCAGGCCTGGCAAATGTTCTCAAAATAGCCCTGCCTCCAGCCTGTCTGTCCTCCTGCTCATTTGCACACCACCGCCACCACCACTCCTCTGGCCAGTGCTACTCAGAATTCTGTCCAGACGTCATTCCTGGTCCGCAGACGATTAGCAGTCTGGATGAGAGAAGCACAGATACTGAAGCAAGTGTTTATAACCCGACGAAGCGTGAACAGGTAGACCCTGTCCCCACTTTCAGCAAACCTTATAGCCGAGAAGCAGACATAGATTGTAATGGGGAAGAAGGAGGTGCTTTGGAGCATGCAACAGGGTCTCTGTCTCCGCTTTGGAAGCGCAGGGCAAGCTTGTGGAGGAGGGCCATGTCAAGCGGGTCCAAAGAGATGGTTCCTGTGGGTTGTGGGTGGAGGGCAATGTGAGTTCTCCTGGTGGAGAGCTGCAGTGGGTTTCAGGTCAGACTGTGAGGTCAGGAGGAGCTAGGCTGGAGCGGCAGGACAGTGCCCATCATGTCCCGTCGTGGACAGCTTTATGTGAGTAGTTAGCAACGGGGACACTCTGAAGGGTGCTATGGAGGGCAGTGACAAGTACAGCCCACTCATTCCCAAACCCTGCGGATCAGATGTGAAGTTCAGAGAGTGGGGAATCTGGACTTATGAACTGGGATACTGGGACTGATGTATGTGCACTGCAGTGTGTAAAACATACAGCTAGTGGGAAGCGGCTCTGCAGCACAGGGAGCTCAACCCAGAGCTCTGTGATGACTGAGATGGGGCGATGAGGAAAGAGGCTCAAGAGGAAGGGCATAGATGTATACATATAGCTGATTCACTGCGTTGTGACAGCAGGAAGTAACACAACATTGTAAAGCAACTGCACCCCCAGTAAAAATCAAAACAAAAGAGGAACTTTGGCAAGACTTGAAAAGTAAGTTTAGTCACTATTAGAAATCCATATCAAAGAGGGTTTCAAGCAACAAACTCTAAATTATGGCTATAGTACTAGAAAATAGAGTATGATAATATAACACAAAGTTTAGGGAGCCAGTTAAAAGAGGTAAAAACTTTAGCCACATTTACTGAGTCTATGAGTCACTGCATTAATCATGCAGTCATAACGTGGATGGGCATAATGAGACATGTTTTGGTTTTCTTGTTTAAACTTGCAAACACAACAAGGTGGGATTTCTGGTGTGCTGATTTGTTTAGTTTTGATCAGCCCGATTGTTTTTTTTTTAATGTTTAATTAATTTATCTATTTGACTGCAGCAGGTTTTAGCTGTGACACAGGATCTTCAGTTGTCATTAAGGCATGTGGGATATTTAGTTGTGGCATGTGGGATCTAGTTCACCAGCTAGGGATCGAACCCAGGCTCCTTCCATTGAGGAGTGTGGAGTCTTAGCCACTGGACCACCAGGGAAGTTCCCCAGATTGATTTTTTTAACTCATTAAAATAGTTTCTTGACCTTAAGTGCTTTTAAATTTTTAAGCCTTTTCTCTATTCTGGATCTGTTAATTTGTAGGTGGGCAAACTACAAAAGAAAAGAGTTGGACTTCTAGATTTTGCCCTTTTTCTACCAAGTCTCATATGTTAGATGCTGTGTGAGCTCTCTTTTTGAGCCCTGCATTAGTTTTCTCAGGCTACTATAACAAATTATCAAAGCCTAAAGGCTTGAAACAATCCAAATGTATGATGTTCTGGAGGTCAGAGGTCCAAAGTGGGTTGGTAGGGCTCCTTTGCTTCTGAAGATTCTAGGGGAGAAGCCAGTACCCTGCCTTTTCCAGCTGCTAGATACTGCCTGCATTCCTTGGCTCGCATCTGCATAGCTCAGTACTCCAACCTTGGCCTCTGTCTTCACATCTTTTTCTGCCTTTGACCCTCTTGTTTTATAAAGATCTTCATTATTACATTGGGCCTGCCCAGACAATCCACAATTATCTTCCATCTCAAAGTCCTTAATCACACTGCCAGGCCCCTTTTGCCCTGTAAGATTAACATATTTACAGGATCTTGGGAATAGGGCATGTGCATCTTTTGTGGGGATTTCTCTGGTGGCTCAGTGGTAAAGAATCTGCCTGCCAATGCAGGAGACACAGGTTCAATCCCTGGTCTGGGAAGAGCTCCTGAAGAAGGAAATGGCAACCCACTCTAGTATTCTTCCCTGGGAAATCCTATGGGCAGAGGAGCCTGCTGGGTTACAGTCTATGGGGTGCTAAAGGGTCAGACACGACTGACTGACTAAACAACAGTCTTTGGTGGGGCAGAACATTATTCAGCTGAATAAACTAGAAATTTATTATTTTTGTTATCGAAAGCTTGGAAATAAAGCAAAAAGTTAGGAGACATGTTCTTTAAATGTTAAACTGAGACTTTAAAAAACAGGTTCACCCCAACATTGCTTAATTGTCTAAGGTGCATATCTATGTTTGACTGCTGCTATTGTTAAGGAAAGGTTCAGACACTGCGCAGCACACAGTAGCTTGTAAAGCTATTCAGGGAGAGATGCAAGTAACTGTTGCCCCGTAGAAAAGATCATTCCAAAGGTTTTGCTTTTATAACCCCATGGGGGACTTTCCTGGTGGTCCAGGGGCTAAGACTGCACTCCCAGTGCAGAGGGCTCAGGTCTGATCCCTGGTCAGGGAACTAGATCCCACATGCCGCAACTAAGAGTTCAAATGCTGCAATTAAAGACCCCACATGCAGCAACGAAAACAACTAAAACCTGGCCAAGTAAGTAAATATTTATAACTCTATAGAACATTAGCCAGTTTTTTTCCCTCTATTTCAGCAAACTTATTTAAGCTTTTTTCCTAGTAATATATATATTCTCCTTATTTCCATTTTGATCAGTTTTACCACTTTAATGGTTAAATTCAATCAGCTGGATACATTTTTAACACAGATCTATGTTGCATTTGTATGACAGCCATGGTTTTAACTTTCTGACAATTATACTTTGACAGTGAATTTGTCTGCTAAACTACATTAGGTGGCCCAGTAGGAAACTGTATGTTAGAAGATATTCACTAGTCCCTCCAACTCTAAAAGTCTATAATGATCTCTCCCTCTGATCTGTACTCCCAGAGCAACAGTACTTTCTCAGGGAAATATAGTATAGACTGAATTGTCTTTCTACATGTTGAAGTTTCAGTTTTATTCTGCAGAAAACACAATTAATTTTCTATATGTCACCATTTTTCTGACTGATCTATGGAGTTGTTGGCAATTGTGATGAATAGCTGATCTGGCACGCTATAACATTTACATAATAATAACTTACTTAATGGAGCTTGACAATCAGCACAACTGAAAGGTGGGTAAGAAAGAGAATCTAACAGGCTGGGAACTAGGGAGTTGGCACATCTGGCTTGAATTCGAGGAGCAAAGGGATGCTGATGTGACTGTTAATAAGTAATAAAACCAGCTTGCAGTGTGAGAGGTGCAAGGTAGTCTACCATCATAAATTGCTGGGGAAAAAAGATTAAATACTCTTGGTTTAGAAATAAAGAGGGGAATTCACTACTGGTGACCTTCTTTTGAAAAGTAATTGGAGATGAAATGTAAATTGTCATACAGAAACGATTTAAAAGATGTATGTTATCTGTTCCCACAGTTTAAGGTGTGGCATTTTTAAAATAGTAAGAACTTAGATATGTAAATAACTGCAGAAAGACATAAAAGGGTATTGTATTAGAATTCTGTCAACAAACGTGCACCCCATCAGTCACTCAGACAAAAGTAGCACATTCCTAAAGCAACAGAAGATAGCAATACGATATTAAGAAGGCACAGACTCTATGGTGGTTCCACGTTACTGCTCTCTGATATTATTTACCAGAGAATATTCTTAAGAAAGGGCTTCCCAAGTGGCTCACTGGGTAAAGAACCTGTCTGCAATACGGGAGATGCTGAAGATACAGGTTCGATTCCTGGGTCGGGAAGATCCCCTGAAGGAGGGCATAGCAACCCACTCCAGTATTCTTGCCTGGAGAATACCAGGAACAGAGGAGCCTGGCAGGCTACAGTCCATAGGTCACAAAGAATCAGACGCGACTGAGTGCAGCACAGCACAGCACAGCACGTTCTTAAGAAGAAAAAAAAACAAAAAACTGACACTCAGTAAACACTAGAGGGCTGGCTATAAGGATTGCACCCTCTCTGTATAATGTTTTTCTTTCTGTTTAATTTGGTAAGAAACATGAAGAAAGGCAGGTAATGCCTCAGTGATGAGGCAGGGTAAATGATGAGAGAAGATACTAGAGAAACTGGATTAAATAACACTGGCTGGTATCCCCTTGCCTGCAAATTATACTTTGATTTTTCTCACCTCTGTTTTCATTCAACTTCTCAGTCACTTTCAAATTTATACTTGTACCTTTGATTTACATGGCATATGTTTATTTTCATATATTTCAATCCAATCTGTATTGTTTATTTCTTACTAAAAGAAAAATACTTTTCTAGTAATGCCTATACAAGCAGCTGTCCCTGGGTGTCACTCTGCCCTGAAGACAGAGTCATATGCGCTGGGTGGGGGTGAGGAGGTATGAGAGGGTCCTAACCAGACAGACCACCTCATACAGCTTTCTTTGGTAGGAAGAACCACTATTACCTCCCTGTTACCTTAAGGCAAGAGTCTAAGAAAGGGAATGTTCTAGAAGTGGGCAGAATGTTCAAGGGGCTATAGTAGTGGATTTTTTTAATGCCAGAGAAAGCAAAGTCTAGTAAAAACGTTCAAGATACTCCCTTGAGATGATGGTATTAGAAAATGATTTCTGGTAGAGCGAGGTAGAATTTAAATTAGGCTGCTGCAGATACCTATAGATAGCATCAAACAACTTCCATTTGGCTGCCTAGGTAGCAAATGACGGCCCCTGGATGTGATCAAAGCCCCTCCATTCTCAGGGGTTCCCCCATGAATTGAACCCATCGTAGCTCATTTAGATGCCGCACGGCATTTGGCAGGGCACACGAGTTGCTTTTTCTCCCAGTGCTTAACCTCTTTTCCCCAGATACAAATGTCAATATTGGATTTAGTCTGGCTGAATGAATGTGTCAGAGGGGAGATTAGTGACTGGCAGCCACAAAAGGGTTTTTCAATTGGCAAAAGTAAATTTCTCACAAATGAATCAAAACAGTTTGAGGTGGAATAGAAGCAAGGGGAAAAAAAGCCTTGCCAAGTTGAGTCATGATGCCTCATTAAATGGATCTGAAAACTTCAGCATGGGCATTTTATCTAGAAGCTCCCGGATTCACACAGCAGGGAGCAAGGGATGAGGGAAAGAGGACACATATACTTTAATATCTTCAACAGGGTATTTCTGCGAGAAGTCGCAGTGTGTTTAGAGCATAAAACCATCCACCTGAACCATACTTCAGATGATTGCAGTGCCGAGCTCATCATAACAATTCTTAGACCACTGAATGTGATCAACTAAAATGATGCAAGTTTTAATTTTTACCTGTGATTCCATCCCTGTCTTTTGAAATTGGTTGTACTGCTTGCTTTATTGTTTGCCTTGGACGCTTTTT